TAGCATTTTAAGGTGATCTTATCAAATTGTTTGAGATTTCAGTCGTTTGTTGTCACTTTTTTCGTTGACTTCGTCGTGTTCACTACATTGTTGTGGTGTCATCAGCTACCAGGATTGCTGCTGCGACAGTAATGATAACAAAAAGTTGCAGTAAGTGCGCTGATACACGCAGCAATTGCCATTGTCACCCGTAGTCGTCTGTCTCTCTGTCCGCCGGTTCGTCTCTTGGTTAGTTTTGATGATGGTTAATTGTTTTTTTGTTGTGCCAGTCATTCGGAAAAAGTTTTTTTTTTTTTTTTTACAGCTTCAGAATCTGTTTTTTCCATCAGTCTGTTTCTATTGGAGTTTCTTCTTTTATAAATTTCTAATTTTCCTTTATATTTATACAATTTCTTTTTTTTTTTCTTTTCTTTTTTTTGTTTTTATGAGAAAAATGAAAAATTGCAGAAGTGGGAAAGACTGAAAATTAACACTACCAACAAAAAAAAAAAGCGCCAAGTTTTTGTTGCCATCAAATTTTATGTAATTGTGAATCAAAGTACTTTACATTTAGCGAAACTTTGATGATGGTGATGGTTTCCTTAGTCCTCCCCACCTTCTCCCTTTATTTCATTCCCATTGCTTCTTTTACTGTTTTTCAATTATGTAAGAAGTAATTTTTTTTCTTGTTTGCTTCTAAACGACCTGTAAGGTATTCATTTTTTTCCGCTTCTTAGGGTTTTTTCTTGTTCCCAGTTCTCCACGGTAGAGAACCAGAAAGGTCGTCTGAATTGAATATTTTTTTCAGGTTTAACTTGCTTCAGTAGATTTCTCCACTAAAAAAGTTCAGACATTGATTTTTTCTCCGGTTTCTTGATGACTTTCGCTTTTTTTCTGTGTCGGTTAAAGATGCTGGGGACGAGCAAATAAATGTTGCGAAGGAAATGGATTGGAAGTTTTTTTGTTGTTTTTACCGCTCTTTGTAACATTTTTGTTTTCAGTTGGATGGAGTAGCTGAAGCAAATTTCTGTGGATCGACATATGTAACTAAAATACCGTTCATTACGGCAGGAGGTCTTACGTAAAAGGTTTGTCAAAAAGGTTTTGGCTGTTTCAGTAAGGTTATGGTCTGTTAAGCAAAATGGCCTTGCAAAAAATTTTTTTATAAGATTATTTTCACAGATTTTTGAAGAATTCATAATCGTCCTACTTCTTTTTTTCACCCTGTTGGGAACAGTTTCTTTGTTTTTACCTTGTTTTATGACATTTATGTTTTTTGCGCATACGTTATGTCATATGTTACTAAAATTTTGCGATCAGAGTTTCTCAGCTGATTGTCTGCACTTTTTACCAAGGAAAAAAAGCAAAAATTATTTTTTTCCTTTGTCGGATTTTGGTTGTCGAAGAGTGCTGTCTTCTGTTCGGTTATAGACCAAAGTATCGTGTACTGGATATAAAACTCTAACAGTTAGTCTTTTACATTTCTTATTCTGTTTCTGAAATCCGTCTGCTTAATTTAACTTCCCTTTCTGTTCCTACATGATTGGTGCTCTCGGATAACATAATATCTTAGTTTTCCAAATCAGTTAAGACAGTGTTCTCTGAATATAGCCTGTTGCTTAGCGGTTAACTTGAGCAGTCTGTTATCTTAGTTAAATATTCATCATCATTCGCACTTTGGAGTTTTATTTTTACGCGGCTTTTATGTGGGATAATCAATACCAGTGCATAAAGTATTGCTAGTGATGCTTCATGCTGGCTTTTTGTATGGGAATATATATATATATATATATATATATATATATATATATAGTTTATATATATATATATATATATATATATATATATATATATTATATATATATATATATATATATATATATATATATATATAGGCAAAAATGCTAACTCAAGGCGGATACTGGATAAGACTGTTTTGAGTAATTCTTTAATTTGCGTATCTTATAATGGTTTTTATATTCGGGATCAAAAATATTTTTGTGATATTTTTAGCTAGAGATTTTCTGGTTCTTGCAGTTTTTATTTAGTTAGCACTGTTCGGCTAACGACTTTTACCTTCTTCTATATGCTTAGTTATGTACGGTTTGGTTAATATGCTGGATTTCTCTTTCCTTTTCAGCTTTGTGCAAACTTAGCTTTTCTTTATTTTGCTTTTGCAGTCGAGAAAGTATCCAAAGGAAATCGATAATTTGTAGATCCGTATTTTTCTTTTTTATTGATGCGTCATTCCTTTATGCGTACTCGCTGTTCAAGCTTTTTAACGTTTCCGGTGCGGTATTCTAACCAGTTGTTGTAATGCTCTAAACTTGTGTGTGCAATTTAGAAAGTTTCTCTCCTCATGTTTAGTGATACTGGCTTTTTTGCAGGTTCGGCTTTTGAGGTAATAGAGTAATGAATTAGGTGACCGACGTGCTCGAGAACATTTGAGGGAACAGATTACTAAATCTGAATGAACATTCTGTCACTGCTGCCGCTTTTTTCACGAAAAAGCTATGCAATTCCAAGGTCTGCATGAGAATTTATCACGATAATATTAGGCCAACCTCTCTACTCCTTTATTTTCTTGTCGACGGAATAATTTTGAAAAGCCATCTAAGTCATGAGCTGGAACACCACAATGATGTGTGATGTAATGCCCACGATCTCTGAAGATGGAGTTGAGCATGCCCAGGTTTATTTCTTTTTGCGCAATTTTTTGTTACCTTTATGGAACTGTGCCTTATGTTCATCTTGGGCCGTTCAATGAACGTAATTAGTAGCGCTCAACAGTGTAGGGTAGTGATTTTTTTAAGCTTTTGAAATATCTTGGAAAGAATTTGTTGTATGCACTGCGAACAAGTTTGTTACAGTTCATATCAAAAAAAAGTATGAACATAATTATTATTAGAATTTTTGGACGTTTACGCGCCTGAAAGTGGCACTAATGTTTGTTATTTTCACGAGATGATTTTTAAACTTTTAAACTTTCTATCGCATTTTTTTTTTTGGATCTTTACGTTATCCAATTCATTTTTTTATCTACTTGTTGAGCCATGGAAGTCTTGAGGCATTAAGTTAATCAGGAATAATTTGGAATTTTACATCGGTATGGAATACTTTACCAGTTTTTACATCTTTGGAATTTCGAAGGTTTAGTCTATTTAGTACGCTTGCAGTTTCACGCATTAATCTGGGATTTTAAATCTATGATTTGTTCACTGTCTATTTTGTTTTGGAAAACGTTTTTCTTTGTTTTTTGAACACTTTTTTTGCCATTTTTTGAGACTGCGGAAAGTCAAAAAAAAGCTTTTTCTATACAGTTTTTTGAAAAAATAGGCAAGTTGACTTTCAAAGTTTCCAACGTTTGTAGAACCGTGGAATATCTAGGACTTCTTATAGAGGTTACCGAATGGTGCTGATATTAGTGGAGATCAAAATCGTATAGAACAGCTAATGGTTAACATGCTGGATGAAAGAGACAAACTTCTAGAGCAGCTGCAAGAAGCACAAAGGCGTATTGAAGATTTGTCCCAGCATTTGAAAGAAGCTGAAAGAGATAAAGAGTCGTTGCGCAGACAGTTTGACTTGCATACTCAGCATCTTCCTGGCGTAAGTTACCGATTTATGATAATCGAGACTTTTTTTGATGGTATTACGATTTGTATGATTCTCGGCAGAGAATTATTTTTGGTTACTGGGGCTTCTTTTTTTGCTTATACACAGATTATTTTTGGGTAATTCTGATCATTGAAATTTTGTTTCAACAGTTGCTCTTAGTAATTAGCGTAGAGCGTTGTTTCAGGAGCTACAGTCTGTCACTAAAGAATTAGCACAGTTACGGGAACAACTCCTCGAGAAAGATGAAGAAATTGTAGAGTTAAAGGCTGAACGGAATAATACCCGTCTGTTGTTGGAACACCTTGAGTGTTTGGTTTCTCGTCATGAGCGTTCTTTGCGAATGACTGTGATAAAACGACAAGCGCAGAGCCCTGCTGGGGTTTCTTCAGAAGTTGAAGTGTTGAAAGCGCTGAAATCTCTGTTTGAACACCATAAGGCGCTTGATGAGAAAGTAAGGGTTGGCTTTGGCAGAATATTTTTTTTTCTTCAAGTTTTGGAGCTTACTTTAGCGTTTTATTCCACTTCGCTCTTCGTTTCTTACTGGACAAGAAATTTTTTATAACACTGGTTGTCTAAGACCAACAAAGATTTTCTTGTGGCTAGTGTCATTTCAACATCTGAACCGCCTAATTCCATATTATCAGGGGTTGTAATTTTTCAAAATCTGCATTTTTTAGGTTCGGGAAAGGCTACGTGTTGCTATGGAAAGAGTGGCAACTTTGGAAGAGGAACTTAACATGAAAGGGGATGAAAATACTGCTTTGAAAGCCAAAATTGCCAAAATAACAGCTGAAGCAGAGGAGAATGCACAACAAGTAAATAGCTCAAATATTGCATTCTCTTCTAAGTGCTCTTCGTTTAATTGACTTTTAGACTGGGAAGATGAACGGTGACAGTAAAGTAACAAATGGTGGTTATGGTAGCGCAGAATCGGCAGCAAGATTAGTGGAACTACAGGAGACTTGCGACAGGCTAAAACAAGATTTAACAAACAGTCTTAATCGTTGCAATGAACTTACTTCGAGGTGAAAAATTAAGAATAAGTTTTTCAGTATCAGTAAAATCTTTATAATTTGTAGGCCTTGCATTTCTTAAGATGCTGTTCATTCTTTTTAACTTTAAATGTAGTTATTTAAACAATTTTTTTTGACTGTTATGGGGAAAAGGATTCAACTACCTGCTTTCGAATTTTACTTGTTTAAGGAATAACGAACTTGAGGAGCAGTTATCCAATGCTCAAAAGGAAACTCGTCTGGGACAGGAGGAAGCTACAAAATTGCAAAATCAGTTGCAAGAGGTAACTTTTCCAGATTTTTTAAAATTGTTTGATAACTGAACATCAGTGTTTAAATATTTTTGAGGTTCAGTAACAAAAAGCATACTATAAAAAGTGTTTTTAGATACAAGCGCAAAAAGATGATCAAGAAGCAAGAATTACCACCTTAGAGAACAGGTGCTTGTCAGCTCAACGTGAAGCGACTTGCCTTCGTGACTTCAGTGATAAACTGGAGCATCAGGTGGGAGAAATAACTGAAGTAATCCAATTAATGTGGTTTTCAGTGCGTATCGAATCATAATCTGATCATTTAGTTGGCAAACAAAGACGCTGCAGTGAGACTTAATGAGGAGAAAGTCCATAGTCTTCAGGAGAGACTTGAGCTTGCCGAAAAACAGCTTGCTCAGAGCTTGAAGAAGGCAGAATCACTCCCATCTGTGGAAGCCGAGTTGCAACAGAGAATGGAAGCTTTATCTGTTGCTGAACAGGTGTTTTTCAAGTTAACATTTCATGTCCCGTTATTTTTGTGGAATTGGTTAGTAAAATTTTCTTTTTTGTACCGCTTTTTAAAAGTTTCAGAAGCAACTTTCTGCGGAAGAACAAGTTCAGCGACTGAAGAAGCAAATTGAAGAGCGTTCAACAGAGCTGGAAAGAGCAGTACAAAGAGAAAAAATGAATGAAGAGCATAATCAGCGTTTGTCTTCTACTGTAGACAAGCTTCTGTCGGAGTCTAACGATCGTTTGCAGCTGCACCTGAAAGAACGTATGCAAGCGCTCGACGAGAAAAATCGTTTAACACAACAACTTGAAAATACCAAAAAGTTGTACGATCAGGTATTAATGCCCTCCTTCGCCAGCGTCTTTTTCTTCAATATTTTCTGATGATTTCAAAGCTTCCTTTTCAATAGCGAAATCGGTTTTGCCATTTAAGCCTTGAAGTAGCACGTGTCGTTTAGGCAGAAAGAACGAAAGATCGTTTAACTCGTGACAATGAGAGTCTTCGTAGGGAAATTGAAGTTTTACGCAATCAGCTTTATTCAGCTCGTACAGCTCAATATCATACTAGGTAAGGGTGTTTTTACAGTTTTTTAGATCAGTAGAACATTGGTTATTTCCAATGGTTTTCAGATTGCATTCTTTCATTGTGCAAATGTAATTTACAAACGAAAATTTGGTGTGGTGTTTCTTCTGAAGCACCATCTAAGTGTAATATGTAATCTGTCCTACAGGTTGCATAGTTCCAATGGTGCCATTTTGGCATCTGTGGGCGCTCCATTAGGTAACGCTGGCTCGGTTCCGACACCACAGTCCTCGAGTTCCGCAATTTACGGCTCCATAGGAGTAAGGAGACCCCATAAAGGGCGTGTGCAGGCTCTTCAAGAAGACCCTTCTAAAGTGCAAACACTGAATGAGCAAGAATGGGATAGGTTGCAACAGGCACATGTTCTAGCTAATGTACAACAGGTGACGCACTCAACTGGTGCTTTCTGTTTAGAAGTTATAATTCCGTACCAAGTTTTGTTTTACTATTACTTGTTCATTTGGTCTCATTTATGTAGCTCGCGATTTTTAGGCTTTTTCCAGCTCACTTTCTACGGCAGATGTTGCTGGCGCTACTTTATATAGTGGTATGCAAGAGAACAACGCTCTTCCCTCTCAAGATATGCTGCTACCATCGAGGTCATTAAATTCCCCACCAACGGACCCCCACGCTTTAGCCACTATGTTGCAAGAAAGGTACTAAAAATCTTTTTTTTAGTTTCAGTTTTTTATTTTATCACTAGTTTCTACATGTTTCTAGGAAGAGATCTATGCGTTTTTGGCATTTCAGGTTAGATACGATAAATTCTGAAATTAGGCTCATCCAAGAGGAGAAGACGCATGCGGAGAGGGTTGCGGAGCAATTGGAGAATCGAGCTCGAGGTGTTGATTTAGGTGCAAGTAACAACAGTGCTGGTCTTCTTTTTGGTCTTGATGATTCCCCAAATGTAGGTAGCTTATCAGCCCGTTCAAATTCAAGAAGTTCTCCTCAACATGACTACCTTGTTGCGAAGTACAACACTGTTAGTAAATCTTTTTGTTCTTTATCTTTTATAACAATGCATTTGGTTTGTTATGATCGTTTTTGTTTATTTATACCATTAATTTCGCATTATTTCAATATGTTAGCATATTTTCATCAAGGTATTACATATTTTGTGTCTTTGTTTTGCTCTGCCGTATTAGATTGAATTTGTGTGTATTTCTTCAGTTGCCCGCCAATGCCTCCACTTCTTATCACCAAGGCGACCCATATAATCAGCAGGTACTGGGAGATTTATTTTGTACCTACTGTTTTATACTGATCAGATTAAATAATGAGCTGTAATGGAACTCTTTTAGGAATGAGTGTTGTTATTTTCCATTATAAGTTTTTCCAGAATCATATGGAAGACGAATATGGGCGTTACACTGCTGACGGGATTTCGTCAGCATCCTCAATTGCTTCTTCACAGGATCACTCTCCTGGTTTTCAAGGTGGAAAGCCGTATAAAAAGAGGTCTACTAGTTCAAGTGGTTTAAAAAGCCTAGGTCGTTTGTTCAACAAAAAGGTTAAGAGGGGAAGCCAGTTTCGTGTTAGTGCTGAGCAAGGTATTTTCAATTCTTGTATTGCTGTTCGCGTTTTATTTTATCATTTTTCATCTTGAACTCTAGCATCCAGTTTGGTCAGGAATTTACTTGTTGTATGAAAATTTTAACTATTTTACAGCGGCATATTCGGACAGTGAAGTTTCCTCTGGTGGTGAAGTTGGCAATGTTATTGGTAGCAGTATGCCTAAGCCACTTGTCAATGGTATCTCTTCATATTCTCAAAATGCTAGCTTTGATCGACGTAAGAAGAAAAAGAGTGAATTGCTTGAAGAGGTAACAACTTATGAGTTGTTGTCTTTTGGGGGTTTTTTCTTGAAATTCTTTGTTAAAACTGTGAGTTTTTTTAGGCTATGAAAGCACGAACTCCATTTGCTTTGTGGAATGGACCTACTGTAGTTGCGTGGCTTGAATTATGGGTGGGTATGCCAGCTTGGTATGTTGCTGCCTGTCGGGCGAACGTTAAAAGTGGGGCGATTATGAGTGCTTTGTCTGATCAAGAGATTCAAAGAGAAATAGGCATCAGCAACGCCTTACACCGTTTAAAGCTACGACTTGCTATTCAGGTTAGCAGTATTTATGGATTACCTTTCAGTTTCTTCGCTAAATTTTTTATAGTGATATCGCAAGAGATCAAATTCTATTTTTTTTTTTTTGCTATTTTTATTATAAAGTGATTGTACTGGTTAATATTCAGGAAATGGTATCTCTAACTTCCCCGTCTGCCCCTCGTAACACTCAGACTACTTTGGCTTTTGGCGACATGAACCACGAGTGGATCGGTAACGAATGGCTTCCTTCATTAGGCTTAGGTCAGTACAGATCAGCTTTCATGGAGTGTCTTCTTGACGCACGGATGTTGGAGCATCTATCAAAAAGAGACTTGAGAACGCATCTGAAAATGGTGGACAGCTTTCATAGGTCTTCCCTTCTCTACTTGTTTGCATTAAAGTTCCTGGTTTTTTTTTGCCATGAGTTTTTAGAATGAAGTTTGCAGGTTTGAAAACTTAGTTTTCGTCCTTTTTTGCTTTATCTATGGTTTTCTATATTGTCTGAAATTACTGGTGCCGAATAAAGACCGTTATTTTCAGGACTAGCTTACAGTATGGTATTATTTGTTTGAGGAAACTTAATTATGATAAGAAGTTGCTTCAGGAGCGTCGAAGGGCATGCGAATCGGCTAACCGAGGTATATAGACAGCTTTGATAACTTCGTTTTTCACTGGAACACTTCTTTTTTGTTGTTTTTATTGATTACTCAGCATGAAGGCACATTTGTATTCTTGGTTTACTCGAGAACGATTTAGATGTATTGGTTTGGTCAAACGAGCGGGTCGCTAGGTGGGTGGAAGAAATTGGATTAGGAACTTATTCTGACCATTTGCGTGATTCCGGAGTACATGGTGCGTTGATTGCGCTTGATGACACTTTCGACGCCCAATCACTAGCACTTTCACTCCAGATACCTCCTCAAGACACCCATGCACGACAAACTCTACAGAAGCATTTCGCTGCTTTAGTAAAGGAATGTAGAGCGGGTGCTCCCGTCCATTATCCAATGGTTAATGCCGAAAGCAGTTAGCAGATGACCGTTAGGCATGTTATGTCTAATAGATTTCTGTGTTTTTACATTCGCTTCCAACTCTAAAATGGCGTGAGTCCTCGTTCAAGTTCTTGCCTACTCACGATTTATTGGAAGTTTTTTGGTAAAGACTGTATTCTGTGATGTTTGCGCGGACTACTTTTATGCAAGTTTATTTAAATAGTTCCATACCTTTCCTTGCTGGTGCTCGCGTTGCTGTAACACACTTTTGTTGTGTCTGGATTTTACTGGGAAGAAAAATAATGTTAAGTTTTTTTTTATGTGATTTTGTTGGTAAAAATCGGGTTGGTTTTTTTTACAGCCTGCTTGACGTATTCACCTTTTTGATGTAATCTTTTTGCTCCTTATTGCATTTGATTTCTTATCCCTGTAGCCAGAATAAGTGTTGTTACGTCTCATGCCAGGTAAATTTAATGAATGAAAAGTGTAGGTTCAGAGGTGTATACAGGTTCCTTACTGATTTCTTGCATTGTTTTGTCACATAGACTCATAATGTATTATTTGAAAATTTTTTACCTGACTTTGCTGGATCAGTGACCCTATTTAGTGCTCCACCCGATGAAACCTCCCGGTCTTTCTTTATAGCACTAGTTGTAAGATATCACATCTCCCTCTTGAAAGAGGTGATTCAGAGGGTCTTATGTTGTTTGTTTGTTAGTAGTTGTCCTGTATTTAGTGAACAGCATTGTAAAGTATGTGCTCTAGTCAGCTCATTTCACGTTCAGTTTAATCTTGCTTTACAGATGAATAGTTCTGGTGATGCCACCTCAGAAGTTTGTTTACAGTTAGCAGACGGTTCTCTTAGATCTGCTAAATCTGACTTTAGGTAAATTCTGCTTGAATTTCTCCAAAAATAATGCTGATTGCTGTTCGTGGTCGGCGAACTTTACTGGTAACGTGTTTGAGAGTTTGTACCTCCACCGATTCCGAGGAGACTTGAGCTCTGTAAACACATTTTAGGCGAAACGATATTCCATAAGCTTAAAAATATTCCTCTCCATAAAAGCTCACTGAACTGTTACGGAGTAGTAGTTTGGGGGGTCCCTCACTTAAATTATTTTAGGATTTCACGATACCAATAATAGGGTACCAGTTGTGCTGCAAAGCTTGCCTCTTCGGTCCTTGTTATGCATAATATTAATTCTCTCGTTATTCCCCTTCCGTTTCACCAGTTCTCACTGTTATGTAAAATTAATTTTCACACTAATGGATCGAACGCTCCTGTGCCTGTAATAAGTTGTTCTGTTTGTTATTTTTCTCACCTTAACGTTGTTCACCCCACTTTTGAGGCACTGTTGTGAAACTTGTAGTTACTATTGTATAGGCAGATGCTATAATATGAAAATGTTATTATCTTTCGAAGATCGTTGAATTGTTAACATGACGATGAAGTCTTTCAGATACAGAATGAGCGTCAGTTACCACAGCATAGAAATCTGCTACAGCAAGAAATTCAGAAAATATTTAATTATTACTGGAAAACTATGATTGCTTACATGCCACCACATTTATTTTCAAATTAAAACGCAAAATATCAATTTTAACAAAATTTACACCATTAAGCACACATACCATACAGTACTTAAGATACATTCAATTCACAAAGTTGCTCAGTAATGAGATCTAAAAGTAATATAACGCATTAAATTCATTACGGCATACCATAACCCGCTGGTAAGTATAAATTCCTTAAGCCACAGCACTTGAGCTAAAAATTGGAGCAGATTCCCATCTTTACCCCTCACTTCTCCAATTTAAAACTACAAGGTGGGGTTATGCTAACTGTAAGCAAAATTAATGGTAGCCCCGAACCCAGCTCGAGGTAAGTAAGATAAATCACAGTTCTCAAGACACAAAATGAGGTGGGATAATAGTGGATTGCTAAAGTTAATTTGAGAACATCAGAAAATGAAAGGCTGGGGAAAAGTTTTAGGTGAAACTCGAGCAGCAAAAGTCGTTCAGCTCACATCCTGAAACGTTCCGAAACTCATACTACTTCCTATCCCTTCAAAAAACTCATTTACAATATTGTTCGAAGTTTCAAGGGCACAAGAAAAAGAGATAATGAGATCGACTTCATGGAAAATCAAGAAATTTCATGTAACTCAGATCTAAATCAATCACTAGCATCATTGAGCAAACAGGAAAATTAGGAAAAAATAAGTAATGTTCAAAAATTCTGGGTGAGATCGCAAAGAATTCATCAAAAGTCGACTTAAAGTGATTTTGACTCTCTGGGGCTAGACAGACAAATCGAATTTTACCAGCTAAGTAACTCCCCAAAACGCGGTGAAAAATTCACGAGAATACAAAGCATATCTGGCGCGATTTTAAAATGAAATTCCACTTGAAAAACCCTATCTATTCTTTAACTTCTCAAATACCTTAAGCAAAAAAGTAAATGAAATAAGCAAACAAATTGATTCTACTTAAATAATTTCAGTTACTGGTAGAATAAAATAAAGAAATAAAGCAACAGTACAAAGAAATCCAACAAGCACTTCTGCAGCCTTAAACGGCCAAAAAACGACAAACTGAATAACACCATTAATTACACAAGCAAACTGAATCATAAATAACATCACCAAATTTTTAAAACTTAAAAGCAAATGGTAAACTGTTTGGTTAATTTGCAAATCCTGAAAAATTAGAAAGACTATGTCGAGATCAAACACCGCCTTTGAACTTGGCATTAGTAGGACAAAACTGTTCATCTAATTCAAATGCACAGATTGCACTCCTGAGAATGATATAAAACCAGAAAGACTTAGTGGGAAATCGGCAATTAAAAAGCCCACGAAGAACGAGTCATTAAAAAAATTTTTGGTCTAGTTTTAAAGTATTCTGAACTTAAATCGAATTTAACGCATGAGTACTTTCTAAATGGCAGTCCGACGGCAAAGATGTAAAAAATACTTGAGTTGTACAATACAGGAACTATTCACCAAGATGTCTCCCTCATCTGAATCGCCCAATAAATGAAATTTTAGATAGCTACAAAGGTAATCGAGACGCGTTTGCCACGATATGATTTCTAGAAAATAATGAAAAAACCTTAACAAGAATAAGATAAGACCAAAAACAAAAAACAAACACAGTCTTTATAACCACACCTATACCTCCTAGGCTCTCAATGCCTTCATTAAGAAGAGTTCGAAAATTATTCTAAAATTTTCTAGACTTAGGAACACATCATCATAGTTATATAATGGAAAATTTAATACCAAAAACAATAAAAAACTGTAAGTAGCCTCTGAGATAAGCAAAGCAGTATGCGCCAATTTATTATACATTAATGATAAATTAAACCATTTGACAAGAAAACCAAACATACCATCCTACTGATAGACAACTATCATGGTAAGCGTCCTATAGATTGTAAGTACTGCTGTGCAGCAATGACCTAAAAGAAAATTTATCATGAAGAACTTTCCTCGGACTTCCTCCAAGCACTTCAGACAAACCGAAGAGGACGTCAGACTTACTTCATCCCTATAGCATGAATTAAAAGCCATGCGATCACGAATTCTTGTTAAAAGACGACCTAGCAGGTTCAGCCCTCTCCATTTCAAAGGATTTACAGCATCAGGCTCATCCATTCCAAGGCCAATACCCCACTTGAGATCTCGCGAATTACACTCAACTAATAAAGTACTCTGCGTTCGAAACAGTTCTTGTCGCAAAGCAGGATTTTGCTGATACTAAAATAATACTCCCGTTCCCAAAACTTCATTATCTTTCAGAGTTCTAGATACAGCATTTAATAATCACCTTCCGTACATTCGCAATCGCCATCACTTTGTGAGCCACTTTATCCCACTTATGTGGATCAAAATTTTTAACTCTCGTACCAAGCATCTTCATTTGCTTTGGATTGGTCGTTGAAAGGATAGCTGTCATCGACTCTGTATCGTTAAACAGCCCTTAAATTGTAGAACATGAGAAACAAAATAAAAATTAGAAAGACACACGAGACGTTTGCAACATCTGTCGCTGCTTTAGCTATCACTCTCTTCCTTCTAAAGAATACCCTAAATCAAAACTTTAGACCTCTGAACCGTTAACTCAATTTTTTCTATGAATTGAAAGAAAAAACATTTCATTCCTATAATAAATTTCACAGGTACTTCACCAGTGTTGAAAAAAAGAGAGCATTATTCCCTAACTACAGCTAAAACAATCTGAAAAGCAGTTAAGATACTGATTTACAAGAAAAATCTGTAGAAGAAATACAGAATTTTCGAATTTTTAGATATGTGCCAACAAAGAGTGAAGGAAAAAAGCTAAATGGAAGTAAAGAGTCTACAAGAACAGAAGAATAAAATAATCAACTGATAGGAAAAAACTTTGCGACTCTGATTGGCGTTTGGAAGTAAAAATAAATTTGTTTGTTGCGATCCTTATCCGCTTCAAAGTCACTATATATAATGAACCTGCTTAAATACATGCTCTAGAAACGACTAAATCAGAAAATGCCAGTAATTGAAAAAAGCAGTCCCTTGTCTGAGAATCCTCTTCACGAAACGACAACGAAAAACATAAAACTAACCTGCGTTTCGCACAGCATTTATACGTAAGCTAACAAGTATTGAGGAGATAGTTGCAAACATCAACTTAGACTAACTGCTAATCGGTCTTTATTAAAAACTCAGACACGGTTTAGACACAACCGCCTACAAATTTTACATTATTCCAACAACGGCAGCGATGGTACACCCATAGCAGGCCATCTCATCCTAATTTCCATCCAAACCTAGCCTATAAACAATTTAATCTTTCAACAGTATAAAAACTACCCTACAAAATGCTTCAATGCCTCCGTTCTATTAAGCCCTAGTAAAATATGCTCACCAAATCTTTACCTTCCACAGTATTAGGGCTAACTCTGTGTAGCGGTCGGTAAGCCTTTAATTACCGCACAATTTTATGCGACAAGTTCAGACTGAGATGCATCATTTTTCTGACCTATTTGTTTCTGCTCAAAAACCCAAACTTACTTTACTGCTCTTTTGAAAGGTATTTCTTCTTCTCCTATTTCCATACTGCCTGACATCACAGACATTCGGTAAATTCACTGAACACCTCCTTCCCTCACGTACAATCAATTTTCTCATCGATTCCTACCTACTCTTCCTTATTTACTATCTAGATAAATGAATATTCTTAAGACTTGTTAAAAAATAACACATGAAAAAGGGACAGTGAAAATCCTCAGGTAAATGCCAGTCTTTAAGTTAAACAGACAAATATGAGAGAGAAAACCATTTGACGCAATATGATGATCAGTGGTGGGAAAATTATTAGACTGCAGGAGAAATGAGACATCTGTTGCAAATAAAGAAGAATCACTGCATAACTATGATCAAACTAATAAGTTTCTAGCCAAGTAATGGTGAGATATGCGATTTCAAAGAAATTTCAAATGAAAGAACCAGAAAAAAAGCCTAATTAACCTTCACTTGGCTTAACGAGTTTTTCCTTCAGTGGTATAAGTAATAGTGATCGTAAGAAAAGACAAGACAAAAAAACTCTCAAAAGCTAAAACTAGTGTTATATAATTAATATTACTGATATCGACTCACTAGCTTTCCAGTACATATAATACTGTTCAGTACAAACAAAATCCCTCCCGTCGATTCGCAGCCTTTCACAACGGAAATGATTGCTAAAGACGTATTTGTTCGTGAAGAATAATGTAAGCGCCATATTTTGAGGCGACATCTTCACAGGAGCAGAGACAAACTACAAAAAAATTTTAAAAACAACTGTAAATAATGATACTTTATAACATGATACACCAATCAAACTTACTGAGGAAGAGCTGTGCATATAACGATGAGTGTCAGGATAAACAACTGGTGAAAAACACGAAGATGAAAATGATGTATCTGTTGCTGTACCAGAATAATTGGAACACTGAGACAGGTCCAAATTTTGAAACTGCGATGTGTCCAAATTTTCCCTTCGTTTCGGTGATGACGACGGAGTCCTGCTCGCACTCCGCTTCAAACTCCTATTAAAAAAAAGTAATGAAAACTTCACCTGTTAACTTCAAAAATGCAAACGTATCACTTAAAATTGAAGAAAGCATCATTTATTCATATTGAACGCCAGAAACAAAAATGCAGCATAAAAACCAACAAGTCCTCTTCGAGCTTCCACTAAAACCAACAATTCCTTTTCGAATTTTCAATAAACGCAAGTACTTAGTAACATAAAGTTCTGAAACAAAAAATCCTAAAAAGCTTGGTTCCTACCTTTTGGAAGAACCAGAAGAGTTTGAAGGTGAATTCTGAAGCAGCAACATTTGGCTTTGTTTAGAACCCAGACCTGAATCATTACGAGAAAGCGGTGAAAGCGCTTGATTCATTAAAAGCCAAAGTTGTTCTCACACAGTTGTTTACTGAAAAAGTGTTTTACCAGTATATATGAACAAAAACAGATAAATAAATAACTAAATAAATAAATGTATATATATCACTTAAACAACCTAATTATCTAAAGTAGCTTCAAAACCCCTCAAGAAAAGTTCTACAATTTTTTAAACAAACAAATAGTTAACAGAAAAAAAATTTATTAAAATAAAGTAGGAGGGGCTTTAAAAGAAAAGAAAGCAGGAATCGATACTCGCGTAACGTGAAACAGAACCACTACTCCTCGTATATAATTATAATAAACAGATGCAATGACAATCGGCTTTCACTATAAAGACGCTTAAACGACATCTACAAAGCAAGGAAACTGACATAGAAGCACATATTGCGAAAAAAAGTTTACCACCAAGTAAAAATTAGGACAGAACTTTGAAGTGCGGAACGATAAACGTACAATTCGCACGCTTATAGAATAATTGACGCAACAGCTCGTGCACCAGAAATCACGTTCCAGACCAATATGCCAGGCCTGGGTAGTTGCCAAAAAATTTAGCGCTTCGAAACACAAAATCACCACTAACAGCTCGGTAATTCCAAGTAACTCAGAGAAGTGCAGTATATAAACACCTCTCGTAAAAACCAGTTTAGTTGAATTTTCATTATCGTTATACGGTATTAAACCCGTATTTAGCTTCCTTTAGTTTACCGTTTCTTCGCACCTGTATTCTCGTATCTTCAGTCCGAATTATAAAAATAGATAATTTGAGAAACCGGTATGTTTTATCTACTTTTTATTTGGTTTGCTTTTAATACATAAAACAGTGGCAACTTTCACTTATGTGACAAAAAACTGCGGAATTATTCCTTCTTTTTTTTTCTGTGTAATAATTGAAAGTGAACAGCTTCTGATAGCTCCTTGTCTGATGGAATTAATAATCATGAAATTGAAGGGGCGCTTACCTAAAAAGTTTGCAGTAGGTTTTGATGGCTCTTCATTAATTTATAATTTAACAGAAAGCTGGAATTATTCCATCTAAGAAATTCCCCATCGGAGACTATTCGATGAGAGTAAGCTGGTGTTCAGAGTATACCAGATTTGGTCCGCAGTTACCTCGTAGTTTGGGTGAGTCACATACATCTTTTGTGATAAGGATATGATTCTGAAACTGTAAAGCAGATGCACTGACAAAAATCTGGTGCTAAATTTGCTTGGCAAACTGAAGATTCGTAGACACCAATAAAGAGCCAATCAGGTTAAATAGGAAGAAAAAAGCCTAAACAATGGAAGTTGATAATTTTCCATTTGATCACTAAACGAACACACATACAGCTAAATTTTCATATGCCTTACCTATGCCAGAAGATTTTACATAAGGAAGTGCAAGTTCAGGAAAGCTGGAATTAAAAATTCTGACTCAAAATATCTATCAAATGTCATCAGTTGGTTTTCTAACCCTTGTAACAGAATAACGAGTACTGTCGTTCATACAACAACATGCTGAATGAACGAGAGTGTTCGTATTTGACATGCTGCTCTATGGAATCTACTGTCAAAAGAGACAAAGCTGACCTAAGGATAATGACCAAAGTAACAAACAAAACAAAGGAATGAAGTTATTTGGCTTATTTTTGGTAAAAAGGTTACTGTTGCAAAGTTAAACACTTCTTAAATAAACACATGATTTCTACGTTTGCCAAGTGAATTCTTTTGTTTCTGGGCTGTTGCTGTAGTTAATCCGATTGTTGAGCCGTGGTTCAAATATATTTTATAAAGTATTGTGATCTTAACACTTTTGATTGTGTAACTTATTCTGACACTAAAATTTTGATTAAATTACTACGACGGGAAAATTGCTGATTATGTGGAATAAACGAACAGGTGTTAAGCTGCCGATTTATTGCACAGTTTTACGATATAATCTATGCTTTTTTTTTCCAAACTGATTTACAGATGAAAATTTGCCGGTTTTCTAGAAACACTCGTCCGTAGTCATTCTGAAATTTCAAAATATATTACATTCGTAATTAAACAATTGTATAGGCCTGATACAGCAAAAGAATTATGTACTCGCGTTGGGAAGTAGACGAATAATATGCAGATAACTTTAAAACAACAACGGAACGTATCATATAACAGCTAATAAAAAACTATGAGCAGAAACTGGAAAAAGACGTTTTGGAACTGTCGAAAATTTGTTTTTTGACGTACTCAGGTAATTCAGGTAAGGCTTGTCCTGAATTCACCATGTAGGAAGAGAAGTAACCTTTTCGACAGATAAATGCTTTTTAGTTTTTTTTACAGCGATTTCTAATCACCGTAACAAAGAGTTCTATTGTTTGACATGTGCCTTCCTATTTTAATCTCATCTTTCATTTCTAGACTGGTCAACTGTTTCTAATTCAAGTTTAGATGAGAATTTTAACCAACTCAATTGAAATCTGTTTTTAGTAGATACGTTTGACTTGGAGTTAAGTGGGCAAACCAACACAAAACCATGTAAACTGGTAATGTGAAATATGAAAATGACTTGTACAGATCAAAAAATTAAATCTTAGCAAACTTAAAATTTGCACTAATAATTAAGGGTGTTGAATTCCTTGTCTGACGTAAACATTGAAATATATACAACCAATAATATAAATTTACGTCAATTAGCAGATTTTGAATTGTCTAAAAGCAAAGGTCATGTAACATTTTTCGACTCATCTGTCTATGTTGTTGTTGCAGTTAATCATTTTAACTGATGTATTTCATCGTTACCCAAACTTCATAAATGCTTACTATTTTAAGTTTATTTTCAACTTGACTGTAACCTACAAAAAAGTGAACTTCATTACAGCGATTATTTGTTTATTGTAGAAGGTTTATGAAAGTTTTATTTTAAGACTGTTCAGCTGCCAAAATTCTTTCATAACCCAAAAAGTTAGTCGTTATCTTTATGACGAAACATTTCTAGAAAGTTTTCTAGTCGGAAACGTTATCGCTACACGTTTTAGAGCTGCTTTTACAGAAGGTTTAAAAAATGTGTATTTAATGACAGTAAGTAAGATAAAAACAGAGTAAAAAACCAACTATTTACGATTTTAACGAGCCGTAATTGTTGTATTGGTTTAGAGGTTTAGATTGCTTCTTATGATTACCACCATCTGTAACTGTTGGTAATTTGTGGCAAGAGAGATTTTTAACGAATTTTATCCAAATATTGTTCAAGCTATGCAATAATTATAATAAACATAACAGAATTCGATCTGTCTGTTATTACAGTGACTTCTTTATGTTTGAGCAAAGTGCCAAGTTTTTCGTACTTCTCGCATAAATTTTAGTCAGTTAAACTTCTAAAATCTAACAAGTTTTTTCTAGTAAAGAGTGGTTATTTTCTTAAAGTTTTTCAAATTTCTGTCACAAACAATTTGTAAAATTTGTCTAACTATTTATTAGGTGTTTTTTTTCATACACTGTATGAAACCGGGTATCATTTTTACTATACTTTAATTTTATTTATTAAAATGGAAAATATAAGTTTTGAGATCTTTTTTGTTTTTTGTGGTCGAATAATTTGGAAAATTTAGGGTTACTTTAGAACATTATTTCATTGTTTTTTAAATCATATTTGACACAAAATTTATTGTGAGCTTATGACGAAATTGTAGCATTTAATGATTAAAAATATCAAACAAATGCAGTTGCATTTCCTTGAAAATGATTTTTTGTCTGAAAAACAAAAAAAAAAAAGTCTTAATAAATAATTTTTTGAGGGAAAAATGTTACTTAAAAACTTTATTTTTTTTTTTTTAAAATTCTTTCTCTAATTAGACCTTTTAAAAACCATGTTATATTTTGACTTCAGTGGCTGATATCTGAGAATCTTTTGAAACAAACAAACAGCCTTGCTGAAACTAATCTAGAAGAAAATTTTCAAAAAATAATGTTGAATAAACATAATTTTAGAAGTTGTCAGAAACACTTAAGACTAATCTTAGGTGTTACTGGCTTTTAACTAATCTAAGTTTTTACTGAGCATGATATGATTCCTTCGTCGTTATTAATAACTGCTGGCGTTATCATCAGTCAACAGTTACCAGAAACTAATATTGAAAAGAAAAAAAAAGAGAAAAACAAATAAGATTGAAAGTGTGAAGAAATACCTAACTTGTCCTCCCTTTTCTGTTTGATTTTCTCAGAAACAAATTGTGATCACGAATTTGTGGAATCAAAATTTGAAGTATTTACCGATTTCTGTTCCGTAGATCAACATTTTTAGTGAGATAATTAAAAAAAATAGAAATTTTGGAAATATATTAATATTTGCAGAAAAAGAGTTACTGTTTTTTTTTTTTTT